GCGAAATAATTATCTTTTTAAAATAAACCATATTAAAGGTACTTTAGAGGAAGATGTATATGAACATTGGGCATTCAAGCCCTGTAAAGTGACATCAATGGGGATAAGACCTAATTTATATTAAAGACCACTTAATTATACAATGATACACCGAGTTTAATCAAAATCGTTAGAGCCGTTTTTGAGAATACTGTGAAAATGTGTTTAAGCGTTGATATAAAGTGGCACTTCCGGTTAGCCGATTTTAAGGAAAAAGTTGCCGTCACAACTAAGGCATATACCTATCTTAAATACGTGATATCAGTTTCATAGGACTTTTCGTTTTTGAGTACATACAAACACACAGACCATTTGTCAGGACTTGGTCATTTCGACTCAGGGTACCTCAAAACGTATAAATCCGTCGAAAACTCAGATTCAAAAATTTTCTCGATCTCAATACTTACACTTACTATATATTACATATATACGTAAGTGAAAGTAAAAAAAAACGGCTGTAACAATTCTGATTAAAGTCAGTATATCAGTGTATTATTAAGCACTTTTTAATATAATGCAGGTACTATTCTCAATTATGTTCTCTAACAGGGCTTAAATGACTAATTTTCAATATTAGCTTCCTCTAAAGTACCTTTAATTTTTTATATTTGAAGTAATTAACCATTTCACATTAATCTTTGATACAAATAATAGATACATATAAAATATGAAAGAATGTAATAATTAACTAAAAGAAAAATAAGAGATCGTAACAGATGATAGTTGTAAAGGAAGAACCAAATAAATACCATAGCGGCTGAGCTCACCCAAAAAATTACAACAGGCTTCCATCCATAGGTAACACAAGCTTAATATAATACGGACTCCGACAATATTATGTACATATATATTATGTGATTTTCATATATGCTATCGTTAGTATTATTTAATATTTACTTATATAGAATACAGCTATATAAAAATTAAAAATACCCACAATGAAATGTAAATAAATATAGCATCTATAATTTTTACTTTCGCTTCCCCTTTTCTGAAAATACTTATTTCTGCTAAGAAGTAGGTGGTAAGTGAAAGGTGTGTGATGCGCGCACCAGACTTTTTAAGGTTTGGGGTGGGCTAGTTTTGTTTGGAAAAGTTTCCATCCGTCTTCAAATAAGTCACTTTTTTAGAAAATTGGACAACCTTGATGACCCATAAAATTTGATTGCATCCTATCTAGGGTGGCAGATGTCCATATTTGCAGTCTATAGTGAGAATACTTTTGAAATCCGCCATCAGAAACCTTCAAATCGGACCACTTTTTGGGCCTCAGCTCCTGAACTAGTGTTAACACCACACCTACAAGAGACACAATTATTTCAAGTTTTTAGCATAATATGAACCTTTTTTATTATTTAAAAAGTGCAATCTAAAATCTTATTTTCATTCTTAATAATCTTAAAATAACAATTTTGGTAATTTTTTCTATTTTTTTTTTTATTCATGTAACAATATAATGCCAATGGAGTGTATATACCTTTAAATTTACTTATTGCTAGAATATGTTGAATGACAGAACATATTGAAATGCTAGTTGAATAGGGGTTGAAATTAAACTTGCTATCCAGTTTGCATTAATTAATTGATATAAATAATAATTGGAAATAAGTGTTTTAATCACATAAATTTAATATTCAATTACAAATAAAAGTTAGTTTATAATGTAGCAGCCAATTAGTTCACATGTCTGCTACCTAGCACCACCACATGCGTGTTTATTCATTTTATCTAAAAGTTCTAATTTTATTTCATATTAATGTAATGTAAAAAACTGCCACCATGCAAAAACCTGTAAATATCTATATAATTGTGAATACTTTTTTAAAACAAAATTTTATGGTAATAAGATATACTGATCCAACCTTAAAAATAACAGTAACTTTAAGGACCCATTTTCATCATGGAGGATTTCGAGAAACCTTATCCATATCCCTCCCTTCAGGGAGTCACCTTTTACCTCACAAAATTGGTTAGTATATTTATACCTTTTTGAATGTTAATTCAATTTCACTTATACACCTTTGATCCTTTCTCCTTACCTCTTTCCATACAAGATCAGGATGCACATCCATCCACTTTTAGTCCTACATTCCTAGTATGGAGGCTCATCTTTTGTTCTTATGATGTCATAAGACTCATCTCTTAGCTCGCTGACCAATAGTGATTTGGGTGATCACCCACCAGACATTTGAGATTTTCCTTTCTTGGCCTCTTCCTCATCCACTGAATATATATATATAATGAAGGGAAGAATAGTTGGGGTGATCAGTCAAATAAGAAGGCAAAAATAAATGATAATATTTATTTTGCTACTTGCCGACCTTTCGACCTGAAGTTCAGGCCTTCATCAGGGCTAAGAAAAGAACCAGATAATAAGGTATGAGAAACAAAAGTAGTGTAGGTAAAAAAATGAAAGTAAAATGCAGTTGTTAGAATAATGACAGTAGTAAGAACTAAGAGATAAATAATAATAACCGGTACAAAGTGTGGAAAGATGAAGTAAACATAATAAAAAAAGGTGACATAAGTATTAAAATGGGAATCTTAGAATAAAATGTAAAACAGAAAAAAAGAAATATGAAGTTGAATTCTTGAGGAAGTTAGTCGACTGTTCTACATATCACGGGTGATAAATATTCAGGATGCAGTCTTTTTTAAATTTTTTTTTATTTTTGCCAACGTTTCAACCCAAACATGTGGGTCATCTTCAGGGCTCTGTTTTAGTGTTTGAAGTATCTGAAGAGAGAATATAATGAATTGTAGAAGATGGCGAATTAGCAGAGTGCGAGCGGCGTAGAGCTTGAGATGGGCCAGGATGACCTGTTTTTCTTGATGTGTGTTGTGCGATGGTGTTGTCAGCGTTCGAAGGGGTCATATCTCTGATGTGGTGGATTTCAGCAACGACGCGTGATGTTGTAGTTAGGTCCCAAGGATTTGATGAATTCTTGAAGGAAGTTAGTCGACTTCGCCGCTCGCACTCTGCTGATTCGCCATCTTCTACAATTCATTCTATTCTCTCTTCAGATACTTCAAACACTAAAACAGAGCCCTGAAGATGACCCACATGTTTGGGTTGAAACGTTGGCAAAAATAAAAAAATAAAATTAAAAAAGACTGCGTCCTGAATATTTATCACCCATAAAATATGAAGTTATATAAGAAATGGAAATAAATAGTAAAATTAAAATATTGCGAATAGAATAGTTAGATAGAAAATTGAGATATTGTAAAGTCTAGCAAGATATACAGACAACGTATAATATAATAAAAAGTTAAAACAGAGAAAATGAATGAAAGGAAGGAGGAAAGAAACAGAGAAGGCTGAAATAAGAAAGAGAAAAAGAACACAAATCTGACTCCAAAGGTGTAAATCTGAGCAATGAGTATGGATAACTAACTGTTAGAGATGATGCCACTATACATCTCTTCTCTCCCTGCTACCTATTATAAATATTATCATTTAATTTTGCCTTCTTATTTGACTGATCACCCCAACTATTCTTCTCTTCATTATTCTTGACAGTCAACCATTTACCCACAATTATGAATATATATATTTTTTAATATGCCATGTAGAGGCCTTCTGTGTTCTCTATTTACTTATCTTGATATCTGGATGAGATAGATTTCTGTAAATTATAATAGTGATTTTTGACTAAACACTAAATCACTCTCCTAAAATCTTGTCAAATTAACACGATTTTTTTTTTCAAGTAAAAACCCAATTCTAGATAGATTTTACAGTCCTTAGTGTGATCAATAATCAGTGGTAATCTATGTGTGTAAGAAAGAATTTGTATATATTATTAATAACAGTAATTTTAGAAGGGAGATGAACATTAGACTAAGAAGGTGGTTACCCCTGGATGTATTAAATCAATGTATTTGAATTTGCTGAATGTTAAGGATTAAAATTGTACATAACTTTTATTTTATTTAAGTGTAAAACAAATCTCGATGGCAAGAAAAATCTTCATATGGGTCAGCTAGTCAATGTAATATGACAAGACAAATACCTTCAAAAAATTATGATCTTTAATTTTTGGTTAAATGATCAGTACATAATCAATTCCAATCAAGTTAATGTTTGTGGCTGATACATGAAATATACTAGCATTTATAGAGTGCAACAAAAAATAATTAAAAAATGTAAATAAACAATTTATCTTGTAACAGAAGTTGGTAGGATTGCAGTGATTATAAGTACACAAAAAGAAATTATATTTATTTTTATTTATATATTATGATATATAAAATCACCATCATAATTTATTTTTGTGTACTTCTAATGACTGGAATCCTTAACAAACTTCACTTATAAGAACCTACACTCAACATTGTCTCCACCATCATTACAAATAATTACTATAACAAAGAACTGCAGCATTAATAATTAACCTATAATCTTAGATTTACTTTACAGTTTATATCAACAGGAACCTACTCTTTAAAATATATATCTTAACTATTAAGTACCTTGAAATAACACAGCTAATACCAATTGAATAGAGGTTTGAAAAAATAACACAAAATCAGAAACTCTATTACTGAAAAATTTACTCCTCTTCAATTCATACAAAAGTTGATCTATATAATAAAATGGCATTATTTTAAATTACGAATAAATTTAACTGAATTCGTACATTACAGTTTTTGTACCTTCTATTCATACTAACTCTTTGATATTTTAGAATTAATCCCATTCCAAGGCTTTTCACACATGATTTTTAATTATTACGTAATTCCCTGACTTAATCAAATATTTACTTGGGAATAAACAATATTTTGTTTATACATCAAAGAGTTTCTTTTGGTTGAAAACAAATTTACAATTCAATCTCCTTTCTTTAATTAGTTTAAGTTAAAAAACTACAAATATATACAAATTTGTTTCAGTCCATAAAAATAATGTTTATTTTATGGAAATTTGACTAAATTAAGAACCTATTTTTGAGCTGAAACTAGCTGAATAACTGTTCTGTAGCTCTCTCCAAATCCCAGTTATATGCTGACAATGCTACACAAGCTCTATCGGATTCGATGCCCATATCAATTAGTCTCTGAACTTTCCTTTGAAAATCCTGATTCTCGTTTGGTCCTGTTATACAACAAATATTTTAATAATAGTAAAAAAATGAAAACAAATATCTTACATCAATAGTATAAGTAAAATGAAAAAGCTTTTCAGTAATTTTGGTCATTACTGATAGTTAATTAGCTAGTAAAAAAGGAACAAAAGTCTATACAAAATCATTAAATTGATTAAATTTATACGCATTTTTTTCCAGTTAACAAAATTATATTATTCTGAAATAGTTAAGAGTGTAAATAATATTATATAAAAAAATTTTGACATTCAATTTATTATTGGGAAAGTACTTTACACAACTTGCAGATAGAAGTTAACATGCACTTTTAAATATAGAATTAAACAATATGTTTAATGTTAAAATGAGATGGGTACTACTTCACTAGCAGCCCGGGTCGAAACCTCACTTCTTATCTATGTTATCTAATGTCACGTCACATAACCTCCCTCTTCTTAACCCGTCAAACCTTTCAGTTATTACATTGTTTATTTTTCAGTTATTCCCTTATTACGTTTACTTATTAAATTAAAAGGCAACAACCTTATTACAAGCAATTAAAGATAATATAGAAGAGGGAACGACCATTTATTCGGACTGTTGGAAAGGATACAACACTAGATAACTGAACGAAGCAAACAATGACCATTTCCAAGTGAATCACCGGTATAATTTTGTCGATCCATCAACTGGGGTTCATATTCAACACATAGAACGATTATGGGGCTCAGCTGAGTGAAGAAATAAAATACACAGAGGCACTCCCAGACAACACCTCGATTCATATTTATGCGAATTTTTGTGGCAGCGGGTTCACAAAAAACAGGACTCGTTGCTCGCTAGTTTAAATAGCATAAAAGTATTTTGCTTACCAAAATAAATAAGACGAAGTGAAAATAAATTGTTCATACGAAGATAGGAATTACGAGAAGGCTTATCACTGCGTTATCGGAATTATCAGTGTTCAGGTTATAAACATTGGCAGATAGCAGTCAGTCCCGGCCTGCTAGTGAAGAAGTACCATGAGATGAAACAATTTCTTAACTTAGAAATAGTTTTATTTATTTTTTATTTTTATAAAATGAGTTTATGAATCTTATTAAAGCGAGAAAGCATGACACACACATAAGAAAAACGAGAGGAATTGATGTTCACTTGGTAGTAGTGAGAAAACCATTGATTTTATCTAATAATAAAAAGAAGTTATTGGAGTTTGTAAATTTCAAAAGGGTAAAGATTTTACCTATAGAAAAGACTATATGGTGATAATATTCACAAATTATCGAGAAAAAGAATGAAAGTTTAAAAAACAAAAACATCCTTTGAACAATGAAGCATAAAGATTGATTGATGTATGAAGTTATGTGGAAGTAGATGGCCAGGGTTGGAAATTTAGACTTCACTAATCAAACAATAGACAGATTTGGCTTCTTGATTAACATTGTAAAAATAAATTTTCAATGTCTTATGAGAAATTAGGTTAAGAAAGTAAGTGGATTTTGAAATGACCTAAAACCTACATATAAGGTTTACAAAAAGAATGATTGTTCTAGAATGTAATCCAACAGTTTAACAGCCCTCCTACTAGTTAATTAACACCCTATGTAGCATTTGTGGAGGGATATTAACGAGAGAAATATTTGAAAATATAAAATTCAGAATGAAAATGATTTAAAAATGCAATGGAATAAAATAGCTCTAGATACTAACGAAAATCTCTTTTCTATTAGTCCGTGGTACAGACCTCTTCTCTTTTTATCTGCCTAAAACTTGGTGAATGACTGCATCTTATTATGCACTAAACTAATTTTTTATCTACTAAAACTCTCAGAAATCAGGTGTTTCCTCATTAAATCAATTAGTTATTAAAAACTCAGAAATATCCATTTGCTTTCCACTTGAATAATAAAATAATTTGATCATAAAATAGGGGGGAAAAAAAAAATGTGGCCCACAAGAATATTGGACCATTTGGCCAATACCCATATATAAATAACTTCATTATTTTGATATTTTGGCGGCTGAGGTAACGCCAAATGGCCAAATATTTTGGTAGGTCACTTTAATTCTTCATTATGTGATCAAATTATCTTATAATTCAAGTGGAAACCATGAGTTTTTAGTATCTAATTGTAGACTTATGTCTCTAAAGGATATATCTTGATATGGAAGAAACTAACAGTAATCATGAGGCCTTAGATAATTTTTAATTATGATGTAAGATGTTAGACACAACTCAAAATAATGAAATAGTATACTGTAAATTATAAAAAATAGGTCACTAATACTTTTCTTATTACTGGTGTTCGTCTAGTGGTCGAAATTCGACCATAATTTAGTTTGATTATCATTGAACATTTGAGGAAAACATAACTGAATATACATGTTTCCATTTTTTTTCTTTCTTCAGTCGTATATATTTGTATATTCACTTAAACATGTACCTACTTACATAAGAAAACAGTACAGTACCACTTGTGTAATAGGTAAATAAAAATGTGAATCTACCGTTCTTTTTTTTCCCAAAAAAATATTTTAACCCAGTTTGCTCATTTGGTGAAAATTAGAGATACAACATTTTTATTTTCAATTTTTAGAGTTTTTCCAGGTGAGAAATATCAATCTCAATTTGGTTCCTCATTCAAAAAATAATTGAATTCTCTTAGCTTCTTTAGTAGGTACAAATTGTTTCATTTCAACATTCAACATTTCAAATACTAAAGGGATAGGCCAAATATAAATTTGTCGTTATAAAGCACTCATAACAAATATAAACCAAAGAAAAAAAAAAAATATATGTATATATATATATAAATAGCAATAAAATAACTTGTCGGACATTATTCTTTTCAATTTATATGATTTAAAAAAAAAAATTTCTTTCATTTTATAGAGGATTCAGGGAGCTTTCAAATACTCATAGATTTAATGGACCAAAAATTGGTTACTTTTTGAGTTATTCAAGTATAAAACTATGAATCCGTTGCTGCTTTTTTTCAGCCTCTTTTCAGGGAGGCATAAATTGGAAGGACTTCAAAGAAAAGACTTTAGTCAAGTTTCATTAACATTGTTACAGCCATTTGGGGATTATAGTCTATAGTGAATAATGTTTTTTGGCAGTCATTTCAAAACAAAAGACCAGATAGTATTGAAATGTATATAAAAACACTCAAATTTGATTGCAACATTGTATCAAAATTTCTAAGTAATCGGTGAATAACTTTTGGAGATTAATAGTTTTTAATAAACTAACATTTACATCTTTATTAATAGACACTGTTTTCTTATTTTTATATTGATAACACTAAAACGCCAATAGCTAACAAAAAATAAAAACCAAAAGACCATAAAGTGTTAGTTTTCTAAATAAAATAAAATTTTATTTCAATTATTTTTTGTATGTTTCAGAATAAAAAATATTTTAAGAACTGACTTGCGTCTGAAAGTAATACAATTGTCATAAATGCTGAGTAGTATAGTAATTATTAAACCTTTACAGTAATAAAAACCACATTATTATCAAATGTATCCAGTTTTAACCACAATCTTATATCTGGAAACCTTTATCATAGTTGGTTTCCCTAAAAGGAAAGTCCCTAGAAATACAGAGAAATGTTAATGAAAATAACACAATGTTTTAGGGTTTTAAAATATCAATTAAGTGAGATTTAAACAAAAAAAAATTCATATAATAACTAAACTTTACATTTCTTGAAGACAAGTACATAAATAAATTAAAACTTTTATCTATATAGAAAAAATTAAACTATCAATAGTAGATATTACTCATTTCTTGATTCACTGTTTCAACCCTTGTATTATTTATTTCCTTGACTCTTCTTAGTCTTTCGACAATACACTTGGATTGTAATATCATGTCATGAAACAATAAAATTTTAAAACTCATCTTCTAGTCATAGATAGAAATTGCCAAAGTTACTGCCTTCTTTGCCTTACTCCCAAATCGAAATGGGCTACACCTATAATGTTCTTCCATTCATACAAAAATTAATTCTCTGCAGAGATGAGTAGGTGAAAATCTGTTTTCCCTAGGATGTAGAGACTTTAGCTTAGTCATCAGTTCCTCAAACACAGAGCAGTTAATGATTAGATGTTAGGCAGTTTCCAGGAGGCCATAACTGGAACATAGGTGGATCAATATTCTTCCAAGACTGAGCAGCTTGGGACAAAAACCTGCATGGCTGGTGTAGCATTGAGTAACCCAATAGTCAGGTTGGACCAATCTGACAGCTACTTGAAACTGGACGGTGAGGAAAATCTTCCTTAGGGTAGTCTCCTTATGGGTAGTGACCCACCATCTATTTCATTCCTGAACATTAACTTCTCTCCATATTGTCTTCCATGTATCAGGTTGAAAAACAAACAAAAAGATAAGTAACTGTTTGATTTAACGCACGTTATTAATATTTATGGATTCTAATTTATATAATCTTCATGTAACTGCTAGACATTATTAGCAATTAAAAAAAAGTTTAATTACTGGTAATTTTATTCTGAGTTATCGAACAAAAGGAAAAATGCTTTTCCAGTTTCTCCCCTGATAAAATTTAGTCGACATTGAGGATTTAAGGCCATATCTTTGTAATAAAATATGGATAAGAAGAAAAACATAATAATGGATATAAGAAGCAACTAACAATAAAATAATGTTGAATATAACATCAATTTATATTTGATGAGTATAATGGTAGGAAGGGCCATTGAGTATGCCTCATCATCCATTTTTTAAATTATATTTAAATAAAGTAAGGTACAACTTTCTTACACAAAGTTTCCTCCAGAGAAAAAGAGGGGATGAAAATGTACAGAGAGCGAGATACAATACTCTAAAAGAAATGTGGAAAGAAGACAATAATGTATTATAATATAAGGAGGTTTTAACTCTTCTAATGTCACTATGAACTAGTATTGGTGCCAGTTTCAATAAGCTTACTCTAAATGCTGGGAGGATCAATGCCATTATGATTGACTGCTGGTGATATGCTTGGACAATATCCTATCTAATTCCATATTTCAGTAAAAAACCTTGGATCACCTTCTCAAGTAAAAGACCATTTCATCACCACTTTATTTATTTTAAAGACTAATTTATAATTTCAAAGATGATATTTTGACCACAACTAGAGCCATAATCAAGTCTTATATTGTACTTTATTAGCTATACCACTTTATTTCAATAATTTTCTTCATTTGTTTTAAGAAAGAACAAGTATGTCTTATTATTTAAAAAAAAAGAAAACCATACTCCATGTAAACCTAAAAAGATTTACTAGTTATTTATTTAGGTGCTTACATGGAGTATGATTCTTCTTCTTTTCTTAAAATAATAAAATATATTTGTTCTTTAATAAAAAACCTGAAGAAAAATATTGACATAGGGATTGTCAATGAAGTAATAGGACGGAATTAGTTTATCTAAAGATTAAACAAGAAATTAGTAACACATTTTAAAGTCCCAGAATTTAATGTCCGGAATACGGTACATTAGGTCAACTACAAGACTAAACTAATTCTTGAATCAGCAACTGGCCATAATATTAACATATTTTTAATGATTTAACATGAATTTAAACAATGTTGACAAATACAACTTTTTGAGCAAAACCAAACCAACAAGATATTTTTATGTCTTCATACCAGAAGACATAAAAATATAATTTTATCAAACTAGAATGGTTTTTCTCAAAATGACGTAAAAAATGTAAACACAACAATAAATACAAATAAAAATCCCTAAAAGAACTTTAATTGATATTAAAATCATATCAAGAGCGAGTAACAATTATTGAATAGTAAATTTGTAACAAGAATGAAAGTAAAAAAAAATAATAATAATAATTAGAGCAGGTCATTCAATAGCATATGTTAATTTATTCAAATGCTATGAGTATTTTATTTTATAAATGTTTATAGCAAGATTTTCAGCAGGTATATATTCTGATAAAAGCAAAGCTTTGGATTTCCTAGTAATCTTAAACATGATTCCAAAATATAACATATTTTCTATATAAAATTTGTAAGCAGTCTACGAGTTGGAATTATAAAATACCTCCAGCATATTCAGAAGTCCAATATCTAGCAGTTAACCTGAACATTTCTTCATTTTCTTTAAATTGTTTTGCAACCACTGCATCTTGTGGATCATCTGGTTCAGGTGAAGCCATTAATGCTTGTAAAGAAAGTAAGACTGTTCTTAAAGTCATTGCTGCTGCCCTATAAGTTACTTTATAAACATTTTGAAAGAATTGTCATAATAAAAATAAATAAAATAGCTTACCACTGATCTTTTAGGATATCTAAACATATGGCTCCTGTTACTGAGGAAATGTTGGGATGCCATATTTTTGTTACAAACCGGACCTTAAATATACCATGCATTAGTTATAAATGAAAATACTCCAGAAAGTCCCTGTTTTAAACAATATCAAATCACTGCTCACTTTTGGAGGATTGAAGGGATATGTTTCAGGTATTTTGATCTCTAAAACAAATAAACCACCTTCATAGGGAGTATCTGGTGGACCTCCTATTTCACCCCGCAATTCAGTGAAGGAATCTCCTATTAATTCTAGTCTTATGGCACACTTTGCTACCTAAAATATAATAATAATATTAGCCAATAATAAATCTATAAATACAATAAAAAAAATTATTTCACTGGATTGACAAAATCAGGAGTTAGTTATGACATAAAGGTTAGATAAAGGTCATGATCTCAGATATCTCTTTACGTAAAGAGCACTTCTTATGTCACTCATGAAAAAAAAGGATAGAAATGTATTGAAAAATAAGTGATATAACTCTAAAATTCTGATTAATTAATCAGAATACATAGGCAAGCCAACAGGGTAAGTTGAAATTGTATAGTACTAACTCCAATATTTAACAATAATATATGATTCCAAATTAATCTATTATTTATGTACTTACTTCTTCACTTTTGATGACTTCTTTGAATTCCCTTTTTATCCTTTGGGCTGCAATGTTTGCCATGGTATTTTCAAGATTAGATTTAAATGTAATTTTAATTTATGGCTTCATAATTTAAGCTTTTTGAAAACTGAAAATATGAGATACGAATGTTTTAGATAATTGTGCCTTAAATAAAATCTATCTATCAAAATTTAGAGCACCTAACAGGGAACAGGTTTTCGAAAATATGAGCTGTTGGCCAATGCCACAATGCACAGCTGATTGCAAAGCCTCGTGATTGGCCGGAAGTCTGAGCTTGTTTCTAATTCTTTCAGTGATGCCTGTCTTATCAGAGTCAGTGCGTGCGAAGAGTTTGTTAAGATCGAAATTAGAGAAGCCCAACACTTACATTAAAAGCAGAATGCCTAACATTAAGGTGTTCAGCGGAACTTCGCATCCTGATCTCGCTCAAAGGATTGTTGATCGTCTTGGAATTGATCTTGGGAAAGTTGTTACGAAAAAATTTAGTAATTTGGAAACATGGTAAGTTTATTTTAAAAAAAATTAATTAATAGTTATGAATAACTAGAGTAACCTTAATTTTGCTCTATTTATAATCGTATTTAATACATATTAACAATCGGTTTGACAATGGAAGACAATATATATTTTTTTTATTAAATTATAGTATATTCTTAAATTTATAAATTTAAATCTTAGATTATTCCAGTCATTTGTTTGAGAAATAACACACATTTGAATTTATATTTGGCCAGTATCTATAAGGAAGTATAAAATATGTATATGTTATTCAAACAACTTATAACCTAACTACTTATTTTTATTTTTAGTGTAGAAATTGGTGAATCTGTGCGAGGAGAAGATGTTTATATTGTTCAAAGTGGTAGTGGTGAAGTTAATGATAACCTAATGGAATTATTGATCATGATAAATGCCTGTAAAATTGCTTCAGCTTCTCGTGTTACTGCAGTTATACCATGTTTTCCATATGCAAGACAGGATAAGAAAGACAAGGTAGATGATTGTTTTCTTTATTACTAACAATTAAAAACAATTGTGTGGAATTAGATTAATTTGTCCATAATATATTTTAAATATAAACGTTCAGCCAACCTCTGAGCGTTATGAGTAAAACTTATTTTAATGACAGGCAGGAGGTGAAACAACTCCAGGATCTGCTCCTACTACAACATATAAAAACTACGAGTGGAAATTCAGGGTATTGAATATTACTAGTTTTTGGGCTTAGGGTTAATGCTTTGATTATATTTTCTTATATTGGGTATATATTGCACAGGAGATTCACATGTCTTGTAAATGTTATTTAACTATTATGCATTAATGTAAGATAAACAGAGGTATTTAGTTTTAATGTATCAATGTGTCAATAGAGATATTTTTAAAAACAAAACAGGGTTTATTTTCATACTATCGGAAATACATAATCAGTACAGTTATGCATTTTCATGTTTAATCTTAGTCTTTTTCATAATCATACATATGTCCATTTTTGTAGTAGGCACTATATAATATAGGTGCTGAATTTTTATAATACTTATAATAGAACATGTTTATTATCTCAAACTGATCATTTCAAAAAAAGTTATTTAAATTTTTACAGGATTTTGCTCCTCTCCCAAGTACCGTAAGTAAAGTCAGCCATTTGCGTTTGCACACTAGAATTGTGTGAAATTTTGTGCAGTTGATTATTAAGTCTGCTTAATCATAATATTAAAACTTTTGGATTGTAAACTAATTAATTTACCCTTTGTTAATAACTTATATGCAAAGAAGTTACTTATTGGGTGGACTCCGTACAAAAAAAAGTTTATTTAAAACTGTATAATTGTTAAACAATAATGAACAGGTTTCCAGTCCATTATTTTATTTTATTTTAATCAGAAATGTTTGCAAGCTCTGTAGTTTGTTGATTGTTGTGTTTGTTGTTGTTTTATGTCTGTATAACACATTCTTGGGATCAGATGGCAAATAATTGGTCAATTCTGTCTAGATTTTTTTTTATTGAATAAATTTTAAAACCTATTTATTAGATTTCTTTAAAGCCATAATTGTTTAAGTATGACACCAGTTGATTATGTTCCTATTAAGGAGGGAGGGGGTTTGATCTACCTTGTTCAGTACTTGGGGTCAAGATAATCAAGGGCTGGGATTAACAGATTTTTTAATTTGAAATCTGCTCAATCCATCCTCTCTAACTTTTTGTCCATTTTCGAAAATAATAAATCATAAATATGTTAAAAATGCTATATCTTTCTTCTAAGAATGCTATATAGAATAAAATATATAAAATATGTTATATAAAATATGCTATATAGTTTCTTTTTTCACTTACATAAAATACAATTACCTTTGTAATATTTTCAGCAAAAAGTGTGTACTTTTTGAGTAATTCTTTGTTCATATTAGCTTTTTTCCCGTTATAATTTAATAAACTATGTTGATTTCATTGCTTATTCCAAGGTTTCAATCCCTTTTTGATCTTATACCAACAATAGGGGATCCTCTTCCCTACTGGAACAACAAATGGCCTTAATTGGTACATAATTAAAAGTTTTCATATACTTCAACTAATAATTTAAAAAATTTAACGTACTTTTAAAATAGAGCCCAATTAAAAAAGAATAAAAGGCCGATTAGAGAAATTTTGTAATATATATATATAAAAATATATTTGTAGAGGTGGTGAGCAGGTTCAAGTGCATACAAAAATGCACAAGCCTTCAAACCCAATGGTTTTTTCTTCTATTTATATCCCTCTGCCGGGCATTGTTGCCATACAGAGTTTTGGCAGTAGTGGGTTGATACGTTGGGTTTTCATATGCCTACTTCTGCCAATAATCTACACTTTGTTTTACTATATTTCTTATTTTACAATTTTGTTAGGATAGTTTATTTTGGGAGCAACAAACAGTAGAGTTTTAACTATGGTGCAGCCCAATGCGCAGTTGTGCACCTTCATGATGGGGCCTTATCCTCTTTCTATTGTCTGGCACCTGAGGTTCTACTTTCGGAGCCCTTCTTCTACCTCTTTCTCTTCTTCTTCGCCTTCTTACGCTTGTGTGGTAGGGCCCTTCGAAGGATGAAGTGTGATGGACCCTCCATCTCTTACTAGCCATAGCTGTAATCCTGCAAGAATTTGTAATTCCTTTCCTCCATCAACTGTGGGAAATGTTCTTCATAGCCCATTATATCTCATGAGCCACACTTGATGTCCCTCCATTGCAGAATACCAGAATGTATTCTGCTGTCTCAGTGACTCCCGAGGAAGGGTACCAGGGGTCGATATTCTTCCTATGGTCAAATAGTTTTCCTGAACTTTCCGTGTTCTGTGAGATCCAATAATTAGGGAGGACCCAAATCTCTTTTAATTTTACTTGGAAGGTGAGGGTGGATCTGTTTCGACTTGTAACTCAGTCACATGACTGTGTGTTTGAATCCCAGTCCCATTGGCAATTATTAAATAGTTTAAAAAAAAAAAGGAAATATTTCAATAAATCGGCTCCTCCGCACAGGTATGTGAGGCCTGTCAGGCTACTGGAGGCAACTCATATTGTCCAGACATAGGAGTGTTGAACCTACCCTTTGTACTTTAATAATCATGAAATGCAATTTCTAGAATAAAATTTTGTATATATACAAACATTCATGTTTTTTTTTTCTTTCAAAATATGAAATTTTGTTTAACCTTTTAACTGTCCCATGAATCTGGTATCAGAGTCAGGACTTTAAGTGAGTTGACTCCCTAAAATCTCTCATTTTTGTACTTTTAAAATGGAATTCTTTGGTGATAATTGTACATAGGATTTTTTTGGTTTATTTTAGTGATGAATATTGAAGGAAAAAATCTGCACAAATCTATATTTTATAAAGTAAAGATATTTTGAATAAACTTCATTATTATTCAACAGTCTTTCTTTAAGTTGAAAGTCTTTCTTATAATAATTGTATAATAAAGTTGAGTCTTTCCACACTATATTTTATTGGTGGTGGATCGTTTGTCTGAAATATTTGATAAAGCACTTATAGAATAATAATTTTAAAGAAGTAAAAACAGTCAGGATGGGTTTCAACTTTAGAAAACTAATTAAAGTAAAGAAATTTTCTGGTATCCCTACTGTCCGCTCAATATGATCACCTAGATAATTAAAATTACAATATAAGGCTTACAGGTCATTTTGACTGTCATAATTTTTCAAAATTGAAACTTGAGTGGCGGATGGTGAACAATCATGAATCCCTAGTGCATTCTGCTAGTGTCCAAGACCTTACAGTTGTTCACGCCAAATATTGATGCCTCTCCTCACATCTGATCTTCCAAATAGTTTCACTGTTCCCGGTCACAATGACTGGTGGGTTGATTAGGAGGTTAATCCAAAACGTTTATTTAAAAAAATTGAGGATTGAAATTACAATACTTATATTTATTTTAAAGCTTATTTAGGAAACTTGAAAATACTGTATAGAATTATTAGTCTACTTATAGAATATATTTCAATTATTCTGCTTCAAAAAATAAATTTAATAGTTTAATGTAATTCTTCACAAAAATTCTATAAATTTTATTTATTTTTTTAAACCAATGAATAATCTATAAAATGAATAAAATATGTTATTATTGAATTATTTTTACTTAGTATTTTACTCCGTGAAATATTAGTTTCAGAGATTGAATTGATTAAATTAACAAATTTTTAATTAATGAAATATTTTACTAATGTGATTATACTTTTAGATTCTTCTTGGCTTGCACAAAGAGTAAATTTTATATATATATATATATATATATATATATATATATATATATATATATATATATATTTGTTAGCAGCTAAAAATTAAAGATCATATTTTAAGTGATTATTGAGATTAAATGATATCCAAATATCTTAAATTTATTTGTGTTATTTATTTCTTGTTGTATAAGGAAAATAAATTCTATGAAAAGAAAAAAAAAAGTGTAACAACTATTATCTTATTTTGTTTTATCTTTTGATTATATAATATAGAAAGCTTATAAATTGTGTAATAGGGACAAAGGGTATTTTATCGTGTTCATTCTTTGCAATAAACAAGTTTTATAACTTCAAAATAATTTTAATTGTAACTCCATTCTTGTTTTTGTTTTTTCTCGTCTCATTATTCACTCATTGTTTTGTTCATGTTTAATTTTTTTTAATTTCCAATCTCAGAGAATTAATTATGAATGCTAATAATAAGTCTTAGTATGTATTTAAACTTTTTCTTTTTCATTGTTTTGGGTACATATTTACTATATCTCTCAAATAAAACATTAAATAATAGGTTTTTGAAGTAACTTAATTAATTTTACAAATGGTCTGGCCTATAACTTTATATTTTCATTATACTTAATATGTATATGATGCCTTTGTTTCATTGGTCAATATAAGTAGGTATTACTTATTGCATCACATATTGAGAATTCACTTTCATTTTTAAAAAGTTTCGTTAAGGCTGGAATCTTTATTTACAATTTTTTTTCTTTTATTTCCAAACTAGAACTTTTTCTGATACAAATTAAAGTAAAGATTTTACAGAATTTTATTTAAGATACTGTAGATTTCACCAAAAATTCTATCTAAAAAATGACTATTATACTTAGCTACTAAAAAAAAAAATAACACATTAGAATCAAGTAATTTATTTAAGATAAATTATATACCTCATCTGAGCCCAATTACTGGTTACTTCTCATTTACCATAAATCGTTACTTCCATTCTTTGACATGAAATTTGTTCTCCTATTCTCCTCGATAATGCCTAAAGCTTAAACAGCTTAATTATACTGACAATGAGACTGACATTAGACAAAAAAATGATATTAACAACAAAAAAATCCCAATGATTGCTTCCACACTTTGACATGAAATTTGTTCTCTTATTTACTGCGACAAAGTCCAAATTCCTAAACAGATAAAGTGCAATATCTTGAACTGACCTTAGACTAAAGAATAATATGTGGCCCACATATTAACAGCAAAAGAAAAACGTTAGACCTTAGATTATGACTATTATACTCACTTCTTTCTAGATATTTACAGTTTCAACTAAACCAGAATCTAAATACTTACATAAGACCATTTGGACCTATGTTTCACAGTTATATAGGACAGCCAAAAAGATCCACAAACATAAAGAAAAAACTTTTTAACAAAAACTATAACCAAATTTCAGGGTACG